CAATTCTGTTCATTTTTGTGGTGTCTATATTGAAAGTTTTTTTTAACCTACTTTTGAAAATTTTTTCGAAAAAGAAAATATCAACTTTTAAGTATATTTTTTGAATTTATTCTCATCGCGATTTTTTTAGATCCTTATTTGGGTCCCCTGAAGAGATACCTAAAGGTATTTGCTAAATATCTTTAGTCAGATTTTTTATATTTGTTGTTAAAGCCAAAAACGCACCTTGGGGCGAAAAGTTAAATAATGGGTGGGGCGAAAAGTTAAATGTATTTTTACATGTTGTTAAAAATTTTTTTTTATTTTTTGTTTTTTTGGGTTTGTTTGTTTAAAAATGATTTATTTGATATTGGGCAAGTACTCTGTCAAAAAATAAACCGGTTAACGTGAAATAAACCAAAAAAAAATTTATTTTTTTTTTTGAAATTTCAATTTTTTAACTTTACAACTATTCTAAAGCTTTTGTCAAATAAACAAAGATCTTTTATTTACTGAATTACTTGTTTACGTATACTTTAACTTATCTACTACTTATCACTTATCAGAAAATAGTTTTAGTAGGCTAAAAATAGAATTTAACTTTTCGCCCCAGGGTGGGGCGAAAAGTTAAAAAAAACAAAATTTTCAAAAAAGGAAAAAACATGTATTTTTTGCGAAAATATCAGGAACTTTTTTATTGAAAGTTGTAGAGGACAAGTTGCCCTACAATATTGATATACAAATATTTGCATCTAAGCGGCTTATATTGCCAAAAAAAATCATTTATGCAAAATTTAACTTTTCGCCCCAGTCTCCCCTACAGAATTAGATAAATTTACAAAAGAAATAGATAAATTTGCTACATTGAAATAGCAAGTTTTAATATTTTGTGTAAGAGTTGTAAATGTAGCAAAAATTGATTATAGTTTTTTCTAATTTAATTAGACAAAATCTGACAAATGAAAACATTTTCCACTAAAACCTACTATCCACTGTAGTAATTTTTGGTGAGCAAGTGTGGCTAGCGAGTGCAGTCATATGGCGCCTGCATTTCTATTGGTTGCTAACTTCGTCAATCTCCGTAAATGAGCCGATGCCATCCGATCATTGACAGTGACTATGTTTCGCGTATGTAAAATAAATTTGGATATTATCTACAATAATTAAATATAAAGTGAAACGTAGGTCGTTCGTTATCTCGGAAATTGACCATTATAAATTAATAAATTTTGCATTTATTCCTGTCCCAAGAACTATGTCTTATAATAAGTTGTTAAAAGTAAACTGCTTTCTCGTAAGTGCTGTAAATTTTCATCATTCAATATATAAGGAAACAAAGATGTATACTTTCAGTGAAATTCGTTGTCGTGCGTGCAGTTGTGTATTAGTGTATTAATTAACCGCGTCTATACATATAAGTGAAATAAACATGTGTGTGTCTTCAAATATTTATCCAACAAATATATAAGTGTGTGTGTGTGTCTGTGTATGTAAAAATCCTTCCAGTTTACCTCCATTAGTCAAGAATTGACGGGAAACCGGCGACAAAAATCCGTATTTTTTCTTTCACTCTTTCTTTCTGCATTTACAAACGACTATAGTAATTTTACGTACACAATACTTCTGAGTTTACTACAGTTGTTTGGAACTATTGGTCGAAATAGTAAGAAACTTTGCTAATTTGGTGAACATTTGTCGGATTAGTGACTTAGTGTAGAAAATAGTAAAAAATACAAAAAGTCCCCTTATTTCCGGTGGTTGCAATGTGAAAATAGTAAATTCTAGTGTGATTTTATACAAAAATTAGTAATCTCGGTCTCTCCGTGTATATTAATGGGTGCTCTCTCACTCTCTTTGATGATGGATATAAGTATTATCGATATTATATTATGTTTCAAAGACAGAGAGAGAGGGAGGGGTCTTTAAGCGATTCACTATATCTGATATTAAGAGTTAGCTATATAGAGCCTGTTTACACCGCGTCGCATAAATGTATTCCTCCGCGCGCATAAACGTATATTCCTCCAGGAGAATAAACTCGCGTCTGCGCAAAGTGCTTCCCAGCGGTTTCTAACTCTTCACTACACAGCTGGGAAGCACTTTGCGCAGACGCGAGTTTATTCTCCTGGAGGAATATACGTTTATGCGCGCGGAGGAATACATTTATGCGACGCGGTGTAAACAGGCTCATAATATAATCTTGACGCGACTGGGTGACGGCAAATGCAACAGGCAGACTTTTTGCCTCAATTTTTCTTTCAAGGATCACATTGTTAATTATTTTTTTATTTTTAAATAAAAAAAATAATTTTTGTATGGTGTTTTTTTCTTTTCTCCCTGTGAAAATTAAATTTTGAAAAAACCCTTTTAATAAGGCTTTTTCCTTATTATAAGTTTTTTTTCACAATCCTTTAGAAACGAGTAGATATGCAAATTAGGTAAAGTAAGACAGTCTTATGAATTACTTCCTCATAGAGGAAGTATTGTAATACCAAAATTTTTCGAGTTCGATTTTTTGACATATTTTTATGTTATTTGACCTCAGGAGTTCAAAAATTACATTTTTAAAAAATGTCATTCCGTATGTGTGTGTGTGTGTGTGTAAACATCACATTTTCATAAATATCTCGAAATCATGAAGAGCTTTTGGGTTGAATTTTTTTTTAAATTGTAGATCTCACCTGCGGACATAAAATGAGAGTACTTTGAGATAGATTAATAAAGTTTAACTAAATTTTTTTTGGATTTTTAATTTTGCAAAAAAACGTTTTTACCCATAACTTTTAAAAAATGTTAGGACACCTATAAATGTTTTTCCATAATTTTGTAGAGTTTTTTTAGACGCATCTTTTGAGCCCTAATTGAACATTTTTCGTCCATATTAATCGAAGTTATTAAACTTTTTAAAATCAAAAATTTTGGAAAATAAGACTTTTTTGAAAATTTTGTTGAAAAATGTAGAAGTAATCTTAAAATTATCGTTACCGACTTGTAGAGCTTCAAAAAACGCTTCGATTGACCTATTTTTGAACCTAATTCGATAATAAATTTCGAAATTATTGGTATTTTAAAAACTAAAAATTGTGGAAAATTACATTTTCTCAACTTTTTTGTTTGAAAACTTTTGTTTAACTATTAAACTCACTTTTACCATATTTATAAAAAGTTATTCATATATTTCTATTATTTTTATCTCTATGAGGAAGTAAAGTGTTCATGAAATGAGCACCAAAACTATACAAAAAAATATACAACTTGGCAGCGGTTTTTATAATGCCTGCACCCCCTAAATAAGAAGAAAATTTAAAGTTCATCACATCATAGAATATTTTCGATGCGACACATTATACAGTGAATTAAAATATTTTTAATTCACTGGTAAATTCACTCACTGAATGTTAGTAAATATATAAAGTTAAGTAAGTGATTTAGTGAATAGTAAGTAATACTCGAATTATATTAATAATCTGTTTTTAAAATTTGTTTCCAGTATTAAATAATTCATTTAGTTGTTTTTAGTTTCTGGTGTAAATTAATGAAGTTTAATTTTTCACATTAGTTCATATTATTATTGTTTTGTAAATTAATGTTAAAAAATAGTAGAATTGATTGATGCTTACTGGAAAATAAAAATTAAATGAAAGTAGACTTGGAAAAATGGTTATAATTTGGAAATTGTTTATAATTGGATAAAAGATAAAATTGGTTATATTGGATATAAGGTAAGAATGAAAAATAAGTTATATTGGGTAAAATACAAAATTGGAAATTGGTTAAATTTTATAAAAGGTAAAATAGTAAATGTTGCATAAAAGGCTAAATTAGAAAATGGTTTTATTTAATAATATGAAAATTTGAAAATTGGTTTTATTTAATAATATAAAAAATTGAAAATTGGTTTCAGAGGGTAAAAGGCAGAAATGTAAATTAGTTTTATTAGATAAAAGGATGAAAAGTTGCTTATGTTGGATAAATGGTAAAATTGAAAATGCGGGATAAAAGACAAAATTGAAAAATGGTTATGTTGGATAAAAGTAAAATTGGAAATATTAGATGAAGGGAAAAATTTGTATTTATTTTTATTTATATAATTGTACTTTAATACTTAAAAAAATCTAATGCGAAATTTGGTAAAGTTATATTAAACTAGGAGTGAGTGCGCAACGCGCGCTGTTTTGGTTCTATTTTTTCTGATTTGAATTAGTAAATTTTACTAATAAATTCGTAGAAATTTCTACTTATATAATAAAATTTACAAAATCAAATTTAGAGAGTACATTGTTCATTTTTTCTCGTTTGCATTTAAACAAAAATATTTATTTAGCAAATTTTTTTACTTTTTTTTTATTTCACTGCTTTTTATATTCTAAATAAAAAACATGTTTTTGTTAATTAAAAAATACATTTAAAAACTCCACTCTTTATGTATTTTTTTATGAAAATAATTCTCTTTTGAAAACATCATTTTTTACTGAAAAGAAATTTTCTTTTTGTTTGGGAATTGTGTGTTTTTTTATTATAAAGAAAATTGCAGTTCTTTGTGAAATTTTTAATTGTACAATTTTTAATTTTCAATATTGCAGAGAAGCTAATCAATAAATTTGTAGGTTAAATTATTAAAGACAGTAAAAATTTTTCTAGAGTACAAAAAAATACTCTTCTGAAAGGTTTAAAAAGAAAATTTCGTTTTGTTTAGAAATTATTTTTTTAATTTACAATTTTTGCAATATAAATAAAAATTAAAATTTGTAAAATTGGAATTAAAAATAGACAATTAAAAACACTTCTTTAAGTATGATGTTTGAAAAGAGAATTATATTTTGTTTAGAAATTATGGTTTTTTAAAAATATTTTTTAATATAAATAAAAATAAAAATTTGGAAAATATGGGGAATTAAAAATACTTTTTTAAAAATAAGTTTAAATCTTTTTTTAAAGAGAATATAACTTTTTAAATAGTTTTTCTTCAAACGATATTTTGCTTTAAATAATTTTTTAATTTTAAATAATTTCTCTTTCAGACATAAATCACGATCAAGGAAGGCGCACTCGCAAAAAATAGTGGAATTTGATGCTCGCAAGACTGCTAACCAAGTAATTGATCTTTAGTTATTAATTATTATCATTATCATTATTATTATCATCATGATTTAGACGTACTCTCGCTATCTCACTCCCTCGGTATGTAGAAACCATATAGAAGATCGTCTTTTATGGATGAAGTTACTTTATTACATGAAAGAGAAATTTCGCTTGAGGAAGCACTTTGAGGTTGGACAAGATTATTTGATCAGTTTGATCTCGTTTTTGAGTTTAAAACTATACACACAGATAGAATATTTAAAATATACTTTTTTTTAAAAAAAGGAAAAGAAATCACTATTATAGAAACATTTTCTCTCGTTGAAATATATTTAAGATATTTTACATATTTTATACAGGATACTTTCCAAACATGTTTCTCGTGATAAAATATTTGCAATTTTATCGATAATTATAATAAAATCAGAATTATGGAATGAGCAGGCTTCACGCAGTCTGTCCCCTATTTTTCTAAAAGTCCCCTTTTTTTTAATTTTGGCCCCTAAACGTACCCTATTTTCAAAATTTCCCCTAAATTTCCCCTATTTTTTTCTTTTATCTTTTAATGATGAATTCACACAAGAATGAATTTTTTAATATTATGTAATTATTACAAAAGTTTTAATCCAATTATCTTAATAAATAATAAAATTCTTCACAGAAACTCAATAACTTTTAGAAATTTTAATAAAATTCTTTACAAAATTCAATTATTTTCATAAGTTACAATATTCATTCCAAGAATTCAGTTATTTTCAAAAGTAATGAAATTCTTCGAAGAAATTCAATTATTTTTATAAAATTTTCACGAATATCTCGTCAAGAATTCAATTATCTTTACAAATAGCAAAAATTTTTCGCCAAAAATTCAATTATTTTCAAAAATTTATAAAAATCTTTGCAAAAGTTCAATTACTTTCAAAAATTTTTTGCAATTCAATAATTTTCAATATTTACTATTTTCATCAAATTTATCAACAGATTTAATTATAGAAAAAATTTGTTGATACAATTCTACGCAAAAATTCAATTATATTCATAAATAATAAAATTTCATTTACGAATTCAATTATTTTCATCGCAGAATTTCAAATACTTTTAATACAATTTTTAAAAAATTCCTTGAAAAATGCAATTATTATTAAAAATTTTATTAAAACTTGAGGAAAGAATTCAATTTTAAGAAACATTCAATTATTTAAATAAAACAATAAAATTCGTTGCAATAATTCAAATATTTTCATAAATAACATTTAATTAGTCGCAGAAAATCAATTATTTTCAAAAATTTTTAAGTAATTTTGCAGAAGAATTCAATTAGCTCGATAAACAGCAAAATCGCATAAATTCTTTCCATAAAATCAATTATTTTAAGGAATTTTGATAAAATTCTTTTCCAAAATTCAATTATTTTGATAAATATCAAAATTCATCACAAGAATTCAATTCTTTTAAAAAGTAATTAAATACTTTGCAGAAATTAAAATATTTTCAAAATTTTTTTTAAATTTTCGTCTAGAATTAAATTTATTTTTATAAATAGACAGGGAAATTCTTCTCAAGAAGTCAATTATTATTTTTAAAATTCTTCTCATGAATTCAATTGTTTTCAAAAATTATTATTTTAATTCTTCTCAGGAATTCAATTATTTTTAAAAAATTTAATAAAACTCTTCAAAAAGTTTTCAATTATTTTCAAAAACTGTTATAAAATTCTTTAATATAATAAATTTCATTAAAATTTTAATTAAATTCCTTAAAAGAAATTAAATATTTTCAAAAGTTGTTAATACAATTCTTCGTAAATATTAAATTTTAAGAAACATTCAATATTATTTATTTTTGTATTTAAATAATTGATTTCTCATAGAATAAATTTATTATTTTTCGTACTTTTAACTAACAATTCTGTAGAATTAATTTTTTTGAAAATGTTTAATTGAATAATAATTGATGTTATTGATTGAAAGTAGAATTTTAGTTAAAAATTCTAGAAAATGTTAATTGAATTGAAATGATACAAATAATTTTGAAGAAATTACAGTAACAATATTCTTATAATAATAAAATAATGATTTTGTCACTCGGTCATCTTTAATTATTATGAGTTGTTCAGTTTGAAAAGGTTTGAATTTGAAATTTTTGAACATCTTAATTCCAATGAAAAAGAAATGATTAAATATTTATTTTAAATAAAACTATTGATATTTTCGAATAACTTTACTTTTAAAGAAATTTGTAAATAAATTTAGTAGAACATTTTTTTGAGTATCTAATAATTTTTAAAGTGAATCAGAATATTCTTTAGGGTCAGAGAAAAAGTCAAATTTGTGTTTGGAAATCAGGGAAAAATGAAGTTAAATTTTTGTGGCAACCCTGTATAAATAAATAATATTTTTATCTTTATTTAACTAATTTTTATGGTCCCCTAAAAGTCCCCTATTTTTAAATTTTTAGTCCCCTATTTCCCCTAAAATACTTTTTAGGGGCACTGTGAAGCCTGAATGAGAGAATAAAATATGTACAGTACCGTCCAAAATTGTCAGTCCACCCATTTTTAAAGGAATGAAAAAAATTTGTTAACATAAAATTCATGAAAACTAAATTTTTTTTTTGTTTATATTTTAAAAGACGATCAAATTTTGAAGAGAATAAGACCTTACAGAAGTCATTTGGCCAAAATTTGTAGAAGATATTCTTAAAAATCGTCATTTTCAATGTTTCACAAAAATTTGAATAACTTCTAAAATAATGAACGCTTTTTAATAATCTTAGGCTTATTTTAAAGGTCATTTTCTACGGAATAAGAATTACTTATAGGCATTAACCTGTAATTTTTTACTTGGAATAAGCATGCCGTCAAAGTTGGACAAAAAAATTCAAAAAATTTGAAACAATATTATTAAAAGAAAAATAATTTTTGAAATTCAAACATATTTTTTTATTAAATTTTCTTGAAGAATCTACACCATATCATGTTTTATATATGTTCTAGAATAGTTTTTAGTACAAAAAATTTATTTCAAATTTTTCTAATTTTTTTGTCTAACTTTGACGTCATGCTTATTCCAAGAAAAAAATTACAGGTTAATGCCTATAAGTAATTCTTATTCTGTAGAAAATGACCTTTAAAATAAGCCTAAGATTATTAAAAAGCGTTCATTATTTTAGAAGTTATTCAAATTTTTGTAAAACATTGAAAATGACGATTTTTTAAGAATATCTTGAAAAAATATTTGCCAAATGACTTCTGTGAGGTCTTATTCTTTTCAAAATTTTATCGTCTTTCAAAATATAAACCAAAAAAAATTTGAGTTTTCATAAATTTTATGTTAAAAAATTTTTTTCATTTCTTCAAAAATGGGTGGACTGACAATTTTGGCCGGTACTGTAATTGACGGGGAATATTTTTAATCCGAAAATTAGAATTTTTAATTTAAAAAGCAAACCTTTTATTTATTTATCTATTTATTTCCATATTGAAATACACGAGCAAAGCCAATTCAAAAAATGTTTTTAATTTAAAAATTCGAAATTTTAATTAAAAACTTCATTATTGAAACAGAAAATTAACAATTAAATAAAAAGACTCTTTAGACCGTGTAAATTGTTAATTAAATAAATTTAAAAATAAAAATTTGTTTATCGACATAAATGTATATTTCTAGAAACTTTTAATGTCAATACTTTGTTAATATTTACGAAAATTTTTTCATTTTATAAATTACTTTTTTATATTTTTATAAAATTTATTTCATAAATTCGTAACTGAAATTATTTTAATTAAAATTTGCAGTTCTCGGTGTTATTTTCGCGATAGGGAGATAAATTAAAACCGCTTTTATGATAAAAGAAAAAAAAATCAAACAAAATTACTGTCACGCAGCTATCACGCAGAGGATCGAAATTAAAGTTTTTTGATTATTTATATTTCCTGTATTTTTTCTTCTTCTATTTTAGCTTTTGTTCAACTCGTTGACAAAGCGAGCTCACAAAAATTACTGTTCCTGATGTCATATATACCGTAATACGTATACAGTGTTTTTGGTAAAACGAAAAAACATAGTTGACACAGTTGCAAAAAAAAGACTCTTGCAAAATCCGTATTTAAAAAGAAAATAAAGATAATACAAATTGATTAATCGAGGATTTTTGCTTTGCAAATTATTGAATTCGCTGTATGTTTAAATAACAAATTGGAGAAATTTATTACGGTATTAATATTATATTTCGTTTAATATATATTCCATATTTTTATTTAAATACGTTGAAAGCTGAAGGGGATGAACGTTTAATAAATATTATTATTAATTGTTTAATAATTATTTATGTTTATATTAATATTTTTTTTAATTTAATAATAAATTTTATCAACAAACGTATGACACATCAATGGGTTCATCTATATCTGGTCTTTTTGCTGATATGGTTATGGATGACCTTGAGGTTGACTGCATTAACAAATTGTCATTTAAACCTTTATTTTTCTATAGGTATGTAGACGATATAATCACTTGCATCCCAAAAGATAAAATTTCTGAGACATTGGACTCTTTCAACAACTATGATGAAAGATTGCAATTTACTCATGAGATTGAAAATAACAACTCAATTAATTTTTTGGACGTTCCTACAATTAAACAAAATAATAAGCTTATAACTAATTGGTATCGAAAACCTTCATTTTCTGAAAGAACCATTAATTTTGACTCTAGACATCCTTTCTCTCAAAAAATTGCTATTGTTTATAACTTAATTGACAGAGCATTAAAATTATCTAATAAAAAATTCCACTCGGAAAACATTCAGTATGTAAAAAAAGTTATTTTAAGAAATAACTACCCTATTGATTTTATTAATAAGTACATTTTAAAACGTATTCATTCTATAGAATCTAATGCTAAAAAATAACGTTAATTCATTTTTATATAGTAGACAACCTAAAGTTTTTTTTACCATAGTTCAAGACTTATATGAGAGAACGTCCGAAACGCTTAGAAAATATAATA